TCGAGGACGACGGCAACCCCCGCTTCGTCATCTTCATCCGCACCGCCAATGTATATTCTTCCTCGATTCCCTCTGATCGTATGTACGTATGTAGTACTTCCTTCGTTCCTAAATATTTGTCTGTCTAGAGATTTCAGCAAGTGACTACATACGTGTTAGAAGGGAGAGAGAGGTTTGGTGGAATTGTTGTTGAATATAATGGATGTATTATTGAGCCTCGAGGGCGAGTATATATTGAGTATAAGACTTGGAGGACAAGACGCCTCTCTTAGAGATAAGGTAGGAGACGGATTACAAATCCTAGACTACCAAATACATGTATCCCAAATATATCTCTAACATCCCCTCGCAGTCGTAGCGGTAGCGTCGCAGACAACAGGAGCGTCGCGGACGGTCAGACTGGAGAGAATAGCAGCCGACAGGCTGACATCCCCCCACAGTCCTAGCGGGAGCGTCGTGGACGGTGTCGCGTCGCGGGCGCGTTGACTGTAGAGGAATCCGACGAGTTGCTCAAGCGGATGATAACCCTTTGTGCCGATGTCGATGTAGCCGAGAGCATATGGTGGTGGAGCCGTGATCGAGGTAGCCGTGCGAAGAATGCCGTGGTCGATGTCGAGTCGGGGTTGCCGGTGTCGAGGAAGTCGCCGTGGAGCCGCGGGCGCAAGGGGGCACCGAGTTAGCATGGGCGCAGTGGTGCCGAAGTAGGGGTGCGTCGGGAAGAAAATGTTGTTGACAACGCGTCGTGGCAGGTTTGCCAAGTCCGGGGACACATCGTGGACGAAGGCACGCACCGGTGTTGTCAGCACCGGGCATGCGTAGACGGACGAAAAAGAAGTTGACGAAGCGCCGACCAGGCTTGCCAGGCCCGAGGACACGTCGTGGATGAAGGCATGCATCGGTGTTGCCAGCACCCGGCATGCGTAGACGAGGAACCTGCACGAGCTGTACGCCATGTCAGAGAAGTCGGAGGGGCCAGCAGAGAAGAACTCGACGACGATTGCGGCGTCCATCGGCGCGGGACCGATGTCACCAACGGTGGTCGGAGTAGACGAACTAGTCGGGTAGATGACGGCGACGCTGGCGACGGGCTGGTGCTTCGACCAAGACGAAGGGGGTGGATGGGCGGCGACGGCTATGAAGGTAGCGGCGGCGGCGGCCAAAGAAGAGTGGCGGCGACGGTGGCTAGGTTAGGAGTGTGGTGGCGGTGCTCGAAGTAGGCGAAGAACCCTGACAGCGTGACGAAGACCGGCGCGGACGGTGGCGTTCCCGCGCCAAGGGATACGGCGCGGCGCATACCACGGGAGGTCGACGCGCGGTGACGGCGGAGAGGATCGCTGGCCGCGGCGCTACGGCCCGAAGGGGCGACGCAGCGGCGGCAGGAGGGTCGGGGCGACGGCGGGAAGACCTCGGGGAGGCGGCGGGGACCGCGGGCCGCGATGCAGCGGCCCAAAGGGGCAACGCAACGGCGGTTCACGAGTCGGTGAAGCCGGGGGACAGCCTCGGGGCGGCGGCGGGGACCGCGTATCGCGATGCTACGGCGCGAAGGGGCGACGCAGCGGCAAGGCACGGGTCGATGTAGCCGCGAGGAGAACCACGGGGCGGCGGCGCTGCGGCCCGACGGGGCGACGCAGCGGCAGCCCAATGCTCGATCGGTGGAGAGGCGCGCTGAACTCGGGGACGATCTTCACGGGACCTGCGGAGGCGCGCGTAACCGACGGGCCGGGTCGGTCGCGCGGCGTAGATGAGGCGAATCGCGCACAAGGTCGGGGACGCCGCTCGGTGGGGACGTGGTGGCGGCGGAGTCCGAGATGAAGCCGGCGACGACGGACGGTGTGAGACATCGTGCGGACGAGCTTGTCAGCACCGGCACCCGGGTTGCCAAAGCAGCGCCGGCGCCCGGACAGCGAGGCCCGAGCGACCAACGGAGCAGCGGCGCCCGAGTTGAGGTAGCCGACAAGTCTGACGCAGCCGTCCCGACGCAGCCGAGGACGAGACCGACGAGGTAGACCGCCGGGCCGCCGTGCAGACGCGGCGGAGGCGGGTGATGTGGATCGATGGGCGGGTCGGCGCGCGAGCGACGATTATGATTGGCCGTCGCATGGCGCGTGGCCGCCGGGCCGGGGCGATGCAAGTGTCCCGGTCGGAGCAGGGCGATGACGGCCGGCGTAGGGCGACGGGCGGACGACGACTGGCCCTGACGGGCCGCCTCGGCGCGCGTGGCCGCCGGGTCGGAGGAGAGGCCGGCAGGTCACGTCGGGGTCGGAGTAGAGGCGCTCGGGGTCGATGGCGGTGGTGGGCGACGCAAACCCAACAAGAATAGACCGAAAAACCAAAAATAAACCGCATGATCAAGATGACCGGTGGGAGAGAGAAAACCCCGGAGCAAGGCTCGGGGAAAAGACTCTCTAGGGTAGCCGGTCAACACGACCAGCGGACGAACCCTAGGTACGGGCGGCGCGGCCCCCCGTGGCGGTCATGGAGGCCGACCGCCCCGGGGGCGGCGCGCTGGTGCGGAAGCGGTGGCGGCTAGGGTTTAGGATCAACTTGTGATAGATACCATGTTAGAAGGGAGAGAGAGGTTTGGTGAAATTGTTGTTGAATATAATGGATGTATTATTGAGCCTCGAGGGCGAGTATATATTGAGTACAAGATTTGGAGGGCAAGACGCCTCTCCTAGAGATAAGGTAGAAGACGGATTACAAATCCTAGACTACCAAATCCATGTATCCCAAATATATCTCTAACAATACGGAGCAAAATGAGTGAATCTAGACTCTAAAATATGTCTATATACATTCGTATGTGGTAACCATTTGAAATCTCTAAAAAGACAAATATTTAGGAACGGAGGGAGTATATTCCTTGTTGATGAGTCAAGAAAGCCACCCCGTGTTCCCCGCATGCAGGTGTACTTCTGGTACCCGCTCAACATCGTCACCGGCGGCACCACCGCCAAGATCATGCTCGCCGCCAAGGACAACTTCCTCGGCAAGTACATCTACAAGGACACGCTCGCCCGGAACCTCGCCACCGTCATTTACAAAGTAAACCATCCATCATATGCTGTTTTCTTTCCGCATGCACTAGGAATCTAGCCGCTCGTGTCGTGTAGAAGCTGAGCGTTTTCTGTGCGTGCGTGGTGTGTGAAGGACGAGGACGACATAATCGACTTGGCGAAAGAGCAGTTCCGCGTGCTCAAGGGCGAAACCGAGTTCCGGTACGGCTACAAGATCGTGGTAATTCTCTCATCCTTGGGTGCGGAAGGGCGGGTCGTTTCGATAATGATATGCTCTGGTAGTACGTACTAGCCTTTCATTCAAAGATCAAAATGGAGGTTGCAGTTTATATACTTGTTGTCGTTTGGCTGAGCAGGAGAAGGGGAACCTGAGGTCTGCACTGGCGACAAGCAACGTGCTCGAGGTACGTTTTCCCTCTAATGCACTTGTACTGATCGCACAAAATGGGTAAGCCCTTGGCATTTTGCACTTGCTTTGATTTTGCCAACCCATCTGTTACTTTTTGGCAAATCCTGATACATCTCTATTCCAAATGCATGCGTGTGGGCAGACCATGAGCAAACCAAAAAATTAGATTGCCCAAGTTTTGCACATTAACTGGCATGCGCCATTTTTTTGGTCATGAACATCCATTGGTAGGGTAAATATGTGATATGAAACGACACTCCAGATATAGAACCCCACCACCATGGGAGATTTGTCATAAGCTCGCCATGTTTTTACTACAAAAACGAACTCTGTTGCTCCCCCTTGCTATCTAAACGAGTATCATGAACTATGAGTACATAGTGAATCTCGAAACAAAAATGAATGTCGAAAATCTCTATTGCAGAAGAGCTCAGCTTCCAATGAAAGAACATATTTCTTCTTCATCAGGATGGTAGGAAATGAATGTGTTGTGCACTAACAGCAAGAACATCGTTTTTCTTCTTCATCTCAGCTCCCAAAGAAAGAAGAGCTCAAAAGTGTGGTTGACAAGGTGAGGGACTTCTTTGGTGAGGTAACCTCCGGTGCCAAAGAATCCTTTGCGCAGATAACAGGATCTGCCAGCGCAGCGGAGGCCGAAGCAGAAGCAAAAGCAGAAGACAAGAGGCCCCGCTCCAAGAGACGAGGAAGCAAGAGGAAAGGGAAGCAGCAGAAGCCCAAGCAAGGGTTCAGTAAGTAGATAAAAAACACACATGTAGTTTTCCCAGAGCTGCTTTATAATCAAATCATCACACACAAAATTTCTTTTATCCCTGCAGAGCCCGAGAGCTGATTGGAAGCGTGGATCTCAATGGACCGCCGGCTGTAGTTTTCCCAGAGCTGCTCTGTAGCACACCTGAGGCTTTTGAGTTTTGCAGCACACAATGTGTAACCTCCCTGTGGGTAACAACAAACTTTGTTCATTTCTCACAGAATATATATGATGTTAGGCAGCCCCGCGAAATCTTAGAAATGAGCCAATTGATGTACTTACAGAACGGCGAAGATCACAGCTGTATATTGAATTTGAATTCTTTGCAAGAGTTAACAGTTGTTGTATAGCGCGCATGGATGGTATCACCTTATATGAGGTGGTATCTGAATTCAGTTGGAAATGTATTATGTGAAAACACATGGAAATCATTGCTATATACTACTTCCTCTGTCCCAAAATAAGTATCTCAACTTTAGTATAACTTTGTACTAACTTTAGTACAAAGTTGAGACACTTATTTGGGACCGAGGGAGTATCTGCCAAATATGCCAAGCAAATAAATTCACAACCAAAGCACAGATGATAAGGCTTGGAATGAATAAACAGGTTCATCACAGAAGAAACATCCTTCAGCCTGATCTTCTGGGATATGAGTTCATAGTAATTCATACAAGACTTCTTCCTCCACAAGCTCAACAAAGCCAGGCACTGGTCATATCCTCTAGGAGGCTAGCTGAAATAGGTCCAACAACCGGGCACAACCTTTGCTGAGCCGCCAGAGCTCCAACAAGAACAGCAACTTTTACAGATCAATGACTCGGGATAGCTTCTGGATGCGGTTTAGCAAGAAGTCCCCTTGCTTGATGGTCGACTGGTAGAAAGCATTCCTTTCATCAGGCCGGTTTGTCTCCAGAACGCCAGTGACCTTGTCAATTTTGCAGTGAAGCTTCCCAGCTGCAATAAAGCGAGAAAGTTCCCTACAACAAATGAAAGACAAAACATATGAATACAACAGCAGAAACGAAACGGGATGCATGTATGGTGCATAGGAATGGGCATATAAAATTAGGCGGTTGTTTCACATCACTTACTGGTCTATGAAATCAACAGTCACACCAAATGCAGAAGCCATAGCTTCCATTGTCACACTCTTGTACGACTCCAAAAACTGTGAGTAGACAACAGTGCGCACTTCCCTCATATAGTAGCGGAAATGAGGTTGAAGATAACGGTCTAACTTGATCTGCTCCGTCAAGCCAGCTGAAAATAATTATTTGACCAGGTATTAATACAAGCACATACAAATACATTGCAGCTAAAAAACAATAATCACAAGACTGAGCTGGAATATATATCTAGACTTACAAAATGCAACAAAAAATGACTTGTACTGGCAATTGTACAGAGAGTTGAGAAACTCTGAGAGGTGTGGTACTTTGCTAATCACTGCAAGGATTTCCGGTGCATCCACCACCTGGAAAGTTCCTTTTGTTAGAGATAAGTATGACAAGAAAACATAACAGACAGAGCCAAGTTGAAATACCTTTTGTTTTAGAGATACACGATCCAATGAGATGATACTTGTGAGGACTGTATAGAAGATGAAAGTGTCATATGGAAACAACTCGTAGGTTGTGAAAGTTGAGATGGAGTCCAAAAACAGGCTGGTAGCTTTCTTGAAGTTTCTGGTTGCCATGCAGTATAAGCCTTCATACACTTTCAATCTGTTCTTTCTCTCCCAGTCACCTCCCTCCTCAAACAACCTAAAATCAGTAGAGTAAGTGGTCAAATACCATTACTCTGGTGTTCCAAATGGCAGAATGGAACTCTACAGATGGAACAAGGGCTTACTTCTTTGCCTTATCAATGGATTTTGAGATGAGATCAAAGTCCATGTAGAAAAGGCCAATTTGCAAAGTGTAGAACACAAGATCCATCTTCTGGCCAATGGCTACAGTTTTTCCTTCAGTAACTTTAAGTTGTTCCAGTGCTTTTTCCTATAACATTGATTTCAGATAATGTAAACAGCCATGTTTAGAACTCGTACTTTGTTAACCAGGCCTCAGATATTATATTTTACAAGTAAACAAGTTCATACCTTCTCGCCAACCTTTACAAAGTACAAGGACTTGGCAAGATGGGCTTCACGCACTTCACTCTCGCCCAAATTCTCTTCAACATCGGCAATTCTTCATAAACAAAATAAAGTTTAGTTTAAAGGAACCAAATTAGTACTTATCAAACTTTACACCAGCGGAAACATTAGATACAGAATAACTGGGAAGAGCATCATGGATAATAAGAAACAAGCATAATTCCACTGAACCAACGTGCTTTTCATGATTCGACCTTCAGGAATACCCTGTCTACAATTCAAGATTACTACTCCCTCCGTCCCATAATATAAGAGCGTTTTTAACACTACACTAGTGTCAAATACGCTCTTATATTATGGGACGGAGGGAGTAATAACTAATAATTTCCTTCATCCATCTCATCCAGAACATCGTATCTCAAAGAAACTCCACTTACTCCTTAACATTGACTATTCAGCCTAAATCCCAAGTGATTTCACAATTATTTTCCCTCTAGAGGTCTGGCGGTCAGCAAGTTTTCGAGTCGACGAGTCGTTCTGGGGTAGCGACTCTTGAATAGACGGCCCTGCAGCTGCGACTAGTTGTGACTCATCGACACGATGTTGAGTCGACCTTTTTTTACGACTCATCGACTAGTCGTCGACTCAAAAACAGTGGTGGTTGGTGCTTCACACAGGGAGGGTTTGCGCACAAGGCGCCGGACCATTGTGCCCTGCCTGACTGGTGGCCCGATGCACACCGCGGTCTTCCCAAGCTTCCCCGCAAAGGATTTGACAGCGCGGCTCCGCTCACCATATGGATGCTTTGGCTGGAGCAGAACACCAGAGTATTCCATGCATCACCTTAGCTCGGCAGCCTAGCTGATTTGCAAGATCAAAGCTGAGGGTGAGCTCTGAATCAAAGCCGGAGCGGAAGGGTTGCTTAGCATAGGGAGATAGCCTTGTACTAATCCTATTAGCATTGTCTTGCCAGCAGCCCTAGATAGAAAGCCCCCTGCCGTTGTACAAGTTGCCGTGGGTGACAAAACTCTGTAAATTCTCTTCTTCTAATATATCGACAAGCATAGCTTTTGCGTGTTTGCAAAAAAAGAAGATTCTACCCTTCCTTAATACTCAAAGTACTCTTCTCAATGCTCAATTGTGCATTCTGAAAGAACTAGCTTCCTATTTGCATACTAATAATGGACACAGTTCTGACAGAAATACAGAACACAAGCAGGCACAGTTCTCACACAAAATTGGGGAATACTCCCATTTGCTTCGTGGTCTTTGGAGGAGGGTAAACATTATAAGCAGTCTGCTATAAGACTCACTTCCTGCGTCCAAAACACGGAGTGCTAATTCATACATGGCCAGCGCAAAGCAATTTACTGACAAGATCTATCGTCTACTTTTGACCACGTCTAGAAGCCGAATTAGCACTAGGCCGGGCTCTACAAAAGAAAGTAAGCAGAACTAGAGGACAAACCCACTCACTTCTCATCGAGCTTGCGGATCTCCTCGTCGATCCGGGCGCGCATCTCGGAGAGCAGCACGGCATCCGGCTCCAGCACGCCCGCGGCGGCCAGCGATTCGAACAGCGGCGCCATGTCTGGCAATCAACCCCACGGCAAAAACAGATCAGTTTAGCTGGCACACTGGATGAGCGGCGAGGGGGGCGGGACGGTGCGGTGCGGTACCATCGGATTTGACGGCGGAGAGGACGTCGGAGCGGAGGTCGACCTTCGAGAGGTCGTCAACATCGGGGTGGGAGAGCAGGAAGAGCTTGTGGGCAAGCACCAGGTGCTTCTCCTGCTTCCCGTCGTCGCCGCTTGTGCCACCGCCGCCACCGCCGCCGTCCATCTCGTCGCCGCTCGTTTGGGTTGGGGGCACTTCCGTCCGGTTGGTTCGCTTGGGACGGCGTCGGGAGTTTCTCACAGGCCGTGGGTTAGTGGGGTGGGGTGTCTTTCTAGTTAGGGGTTGGGCTTGTCTATTTTTTCCTTTTTGCGGGGGTTGGGCTTGGGCTTGTCGTTATAGGCGAAAGGGATAGATTCTGGGATGTGGCCCATTAGCTAGATTCTTTTTAGCCCGGCCCATTAACCTTAAAAAAAGCTACATTCTTTTAGCCGGGCTCCAAGTTTTTAGTCAATATTTTTTAGCTGAAAGGCAGCGATCTCTGCCTTATATTCAAACGGCCGATGGGGCCAACAGTTACATGGGCCCCGAAAAGGGACAGGAGAGCGCAGCTGAAAAACAAGTACCACGCAGAGTAAAGGCGACAACGAAACGGCCATTACCAAACACAGAGCAATGAAACGGCAAACCAGAGAGAAAGAAAGCAACAAGAGGAAGCAGAAAAAAGAGCAAATATTAGACGGCAAATTGGTTGGCCGAGTGAAGCATTGAAGCTTTTTCCTCTTCTCTAGCTGTTTTGCAGGTCCAAGGCATTAGTAGTTTAGCAATCTCCTGGGAAAGGATAGCAGCAGGCTTTGTATGAGCATTGAATACCCGTATGTTCCACGCATGCCAAAGTTTAGAAGCGCAATAAGGAAATATGACATGCCAAGCTAAGAGATCGGTAGAGACACTGACTTCCTACACAAAATCATTCTATTTGTCGTCGCTGCCCTTTGACTATTACCAATTTCATGCCAAATTTACTAAGCAGCTCTGCAACGAAGAATGATGTGGTCAATTGACTCAATAGCGGGACAACACTTGCATCATGGATCTTGAGTCCAACATTTCTTAGTCATATTGTCTTTCGAGTTCAGTCGTGAGTCATATAGTAGATATGATCAACATAGAGATGTTCGCCATTGATGACTACCCCATCTCACGTGATGATCGGATATGGGTTAGTTGATTTGGATCATGTATCACTTAGATGAACTTGAGGGATGTTTATTTAAGTGGGAGTTCATTAGTAATTTGATTAATTAAACTTAATTTATCATGAGCTTAGTCTTGGTAGTTTTGCATATCTATGTTGTGGATCAATAGCTCGCGATATAGCTCCTATATATATATATATATATATATATATATATATATATATATATATATATATATATATATATATATCCCTAGAGAAAACTAAGTTGAAGGATGATAGTAGCAATGATGCGGACTGGATCCGTGATCTGAGGATTATCCTCATTGCTGCACAGAAAATTATGTCCTTGATGCACCGCTAGGTGACAAACCTGTTGTAGGAGCAGATGCAGACGTTATAAACGTTTTGCAAGCTCGATATCATGACTACTTGATAGTTTAGTGCGCCATGCTTTATGGCTTAGAACCGGGACTTCGGAAATGGTTTGAACGTCATAGAGCATATGAGATGTTCCAATAGCTAAAAATTGGTAATTCAGATTCATGCCCGTGTCAAGAGGTATGAGACCTCTAACAAGTACTTTGCCTACAAGATGGAGGAGAATATCTCAGCCAGTGAGCATGTACTCAGAATATCTGAGTACTACATTCGCTTTAATCAAGTGGGAGTTAATCATCCAGATAAAATAGTGGTTGACAAAGTTCTCTAGTCACTATCATCAAGCTACTAAAACTTTGTGGTGAACTATAGTATGCAAAGGATGACGAAAATGATTCCCGAGCTCCTTGCGATGCTGAAATCGGTGATGGTAGAAATCAAGAAAGAGCATCAAGTGTTGATAGTTAACAAGACTACTAGTTTCAAGAAAAAGGGCAAGGGAAAGAGAGGGAACTTCAAGAAGAATGGCAAGCAAGTTGCCGCTCCCATGAAGAAGCCCAAAGTTGGACCCAAGCCTGAAACTGAGTGCCTCTACTGCAAAGAAAATGGTCATTGGAAATGGAACTGCCCCCAAATACTTGGCGGATAAGAAGGATGGCAAAGTGAACAAAGGTATATTTGATATACATGTTATTGATGTGTACCTTACTAATGCTCGTAGCAGTGCATGTGTATTTGATACTGGTTCGGTTGCTCATATTTGTAACTCAAAACAGGAGTTGCAAAGACTAGTTAAAAGCAAGGTGACGATGTGTGTTGGAAATGATTCCAAGGTTGACATGATCGCCATCGCACACTCCCTCTACCTTTGGGATTAGTGTTGAACCTAGATAAATGTTATTTGGTGTTTGCGTTGAGCATGAATATGATTAGATCATGTTTATTGCAATACGTTCATTCATTTAAGTCAGAGAATAATTGTTGTTCTGTTTACATGAATAAAACCTTCTATGGTCATACACCCAATGTGAATGGTTTATTGAATCTCGATCGTAGTGATACACATATTCATAATATTGATGCCAAAAGATGCAATGTTGATAATGATAGTGCAACATACTTGTGGCACTTCCGTTTAGGTCATATTGGTGTAAAGCGCATGAAGAAACTTCATACATGTGGACTTTTGGAATCACTTGATTATGAATCATTTGATACTTGCGAACCATGCCTCATGGGCAAGATGACTAACACTCCATTTTCCGGAACAATCGAGCGAGCTAATGACTTATTGGAAATAATACATACCGATGTATGCGGTCCGATGAGTGTTGAAGCACGCGATAGATATCATTATTTTCCGACCTTCAAAATGATTTGAGTAGGTATGGGTATATCTATGAAAGTGCGTTATATCGACTAGAGGGGGGGTGAATAGGCGATTTTTATGAATTCTTCACTGAGGAATTTGCCGGTGAGGAAATTCCTTAGCCAAGAACTACTTGCAGCGGAATAAGTACTCAGAAGTAAGCATAGCAGAATACACACATAGTCATCATGATGAAATGAAGACAATCACAGAGTACAGAAAGTGTAAACACAGGATAGCACAAGATGAAGACAAACGGACTGAAGAAATTGAACTGAGGAAATTGAGAAAGTCTTCAGTCAGAGTCTTCAAACACAGATATGAACAACTACTCAACACAGTAATGAGGAAATGAAAGAGTTGAGGAAATAGAACCAGTAGGGTTGGTGAAGACAATGATTTGGTAGACCAGTTCCAACTGTTGTCTCAGTTGTATGTCTGGTTGGAGCGGCTGAGTATTTAAACTCGAGGACACACAGTCCCGGACACCCAGTCACTGAGCACGCAGCTCAGGACACCAAGTCATCACCATATTCTCCTTGAACTAAGGTCACACAGACCCCGTCCAATCACTCGTGGTAAGTCTTCAGGCGACTTCCAAACCTTCACAGACTTCGATCACTCGACAATCCACAATTCCTCTTGGATGCTCTAGACCATGACGCCTAACCGTCTGGAAGAAGC